AAAAAAAAAATCCTCTCACTGCTCTGCAGACATTCAGCTAGCTCCTCCTGCTTCATTCTTCTCAGAAAGTCCAGTGTTATCTTCACAAATGCTTCTCTGCTGCTCTTCTTCCACTCATCCTCCCGCTGACTCTCAAAGCATTCTGGGTAATCTGGACTCAGAACTTTCTGGATCTTCTTCAGCTCGTCCTTCACAAAAGTGATGATGTTGTTCTCCAGCAGCTGGAACAGAATACTTTATGAATGAGCCAATCAGACTGAAATCATGGAGCCAAACATCAGATCTCTACAAAGAGCAGCATGGAGATGACTGTGCACAGAATAGATATATTCAATTCAATTCAATTTTATTTATATATCGCAAAATCACAACAGAAGTCGCCTCAAGGCGCTTATATGAAAGTAGTTGTTGTACATGTACAGACCATAAATATTGAGTCCAGGTGTGTTTGATGCTGCTGGGCAGACTGACCACTGGGAACCTCTGAGCTCTCCTGGTCTGCTCTGTGGAGGAATCATGAAGAATTAGTTCACAGGATAACGACCTAGCAGTACTTTTACCCAGTTTAACTGATACAGCTATCTCAGGTCCTCTCTGGGGCTGTGCAGTTAACCTCTTGGTAGAGAAACCTAACAGAGGACTGTAAAAATGCTCCGCTCTTCTACCCTCTGCTCTTTTTTCCCTTTTCTGGGATGCAGCAGCCAGGTAGAGCTTCCAACCTGATCCGGTGGGGAGGTGTGGGATGCCAGATCAGGTGCCACCTTTCCGGCTCTCCTCTCTCCAATCTGTCTCTTTTATATCACACATAGTGTACATTTATATCCCGCCTGCAAGATCATTTTATATAGATTTATTATATTGTTATGCATGGCTTGGCCATATGAGGCGCTATTAACACACAAACTACAGATCCGATAATGCAGCACTACAGCCTCCATGCCGAATGCTAGGCTACCTGGGAACATTCCCGCGCCAAAGTCAAAGTTCTGTTATTGCGAAGCTAGCCCCTCACAATGGTGG